ACAAAGCCCTGGTGGCTCAGTGGTTAAGAGTTTGACTGCTAAGCAAAAGGTCGGCAGTTCGAATCCACCAGCCTATCCTTGGAAACCCGATAGGGCAGTTCTACTCTGTCCTATAGGGTGTCTGTGAGTCGGAATCCGCTCGACGTCAACGGGTTTGCCCCCGTGGCTCCTCCAGGTCCCAATTCGCTTTTGGACTCCTTTCGAGGCTCAGACAGGGGAGGTCACTTGCCCAAGGACACACAGCCAGGAAGAGATGGGCCTCAGTGGGCGCTGATGGTGAATTTTCCGAGCGCGCGGGCGCTGCCCTCCACCTCTCGTTGCCAGGGAGGGGTAACCACCCTAGCTCCCCAAGCTGAGCAGGCCCACGGCCCACACGCAGCTCCCCATTCCAGGCCTCCCCATTCCAGGTGGGCAATATCTGGCAATGGACTGTGCCCAAGGCTGTTGGCTGAAGGGCCTCATTTGTCCCGAGAGGAGGCAGCAGGCTCTCTGCTGCACCCTTCCCCAGAGCCCTGCTCAGGGAGATATGGCCTGACTGCAGAGAATGGGCAGGCTAGAATGTGAAGGCCCAGGGCTGGGGTGCCTCCACCTTCAGTAAGAAGGCTTGAGCACCCGGAGGCCCCAAGCCCAGGCTAAGCCTGGCCAGGAGGCGGAGTGTCCTCTCCTCCATCCACTTCAGAAACAGGACCACACCACAGCCCTGGGAGGCAATACTTGATCATCACGCCCTTTTGACAATTGAAAAAACTTCTCCAAAGGCAGAAGTAAACTGCCCTAAATCCCAGAGTTCCAAGGCTGGGGGTACAGCTGAGACGCCTATGGAGAGCCCTCCAGAAGCACCTTGGCCCACAGTGTTCTTCTTCCTCAACACCTGTCAGATGTGGCCTCTCCCACGGAGCCTTCCCTGATCTCTCCCTTCCCACCCACTTCTCTGGAATCCCACTGACAATCCCTCTCTGGGCGTTTGTGGACTTTATTGAATGAGGCGGCGTCACCGTCTATTACTACTAATTTCTAAGCCCTGCTCCATGCAAGGCACTAAACTAACATGTCACACTCACCAACCTCCCTGTGAAGTACAGCCATTG